GGTTCGCATCTCTTTGGCTGAGATTCCGATGGGAAGAAGCCTTTCCTGAGGCGGTCTGACCGGCAAAATGGGCTGAAGTTTGACCGGAGAATGTATTTCTATAGTCCACGTAGACTTTGACACTTTTGTATCCGCGCTGTCACTGCTGTTCACATTTCGCAGCACTTTATGTCCGCTTTCATGAGTTGAACACTTTTCGTCTACACTTCCGAAACGAGTCAATGAATTATGAGTGGGAATGTCGGCTACATTTGTTGGACACTGTTTTTCATTCAAGTCTTTCTTATTCTTCTTCAGTTTGAGTGAACCCTCGATGGCTTCCATTCTTTGCATTTTATGTCTGTTAGCCGTTGGCGACAATTGACGGCTTATTCGTTGCACCGGTGGATGATATGGAGGTTTCTGTGAATTGGTTAACATATCGTTTACATCAATCACTTTTTCGCCAACAATTTCCTCCTTCTCTATCGTATTGTTGGCCAAAATAAGCTCTGGTTTGTTGGCAACTGTCATCTCATTAGTCTTAAGCTCTGGTTTTTCTTTCACTAAATCTTGCGCTAAATTCTCTACTTTTGACTCAATTGCTGTACTAATTAAGTCATTAGTTTTATTGTCTATTATTAAATCCTCAAATTTATCGACAACTCTTGCTTTTGGACTCTCACTGATGGGTTCGGTCTCCTTGTCCTCATCGTCGGCATCACTAGAGAAAGCGCTGACCGTTTCGTTGAGTTTCGGAGAAAACATATCGTTGTCTTCTGTTTGAGAGTCAATACTTTGTTCCTGTTCTTGGATTTGCTCTAAATCTACTGATGCTGTACTCAAATCTGGAAACAATTTTAAAAATTGATTTAAAAAAGTATTAGAAATGCATTAATGGGTTAAACCTCGAGAACGGGATGGTATAGGACTTTGCATGTGTTCGTTGAGTGGACGACATCTATGAAATTGAGCCGCGAGTGTATTCATTACAATCTGAATCAACATTTGGATCTGTTTTAGTGTTGACTGAGAATTGTATGAATGCTATTAAAAGGACACAAAAACACGAATAAGTTTTAATTGTACGGAAAGTGAAATGTGTTTTAATGAGAGGACAAATACTTTGTATAAAATAATGTTGAGAGACATGAGCCAAGACTGTCGCACATGAGGTTTGAGAAGCCAT